AATAAAAGAATACTACTAAGTTATAATTTAAAAAAAATTAAAATTTAATATATATTATATAAAATATATAATTTATATATTAAATAATTATTATATTATTAATTGTTATATAATTATATATATATAACATATATATATAATTTCAAGAGATGATGGAAATAATAACGATGCAATATGGCAACAATAATTCGGATAATTGATATTCAATTATATTCAAATTTAAGTGTTCTATTAATCTATTGTAAAAAATATTTCAAAATAAAGTTCTATTCAAAACATGAAAAATGATCAAATTTAAAATCAATTTGACACACTTAGATTTTCCACCAAAAATATTGCTATATGCTATTGTATGTATATTATGCATAATTCGTTATATATATGTTTTATGTACAAATTTTCATTAAAATTAGATTTTTCAAGAAGGTAAATTTTCTTGTAAAATGACTTATGAATAAGATTTTTATTTATATTTCTTAATATTTATATATAAATATTAGCAAGTATAAATTGTTTTAAAATTTTTTTTTAAATTCAGTAGTATTTCTAAAAAAATATCTTTTATGCAATTTTTATCTCTATGTAAATATTATTAGCGGGTAAATACATTTTTAATTAACTTAAAACTTTCAATCGTTTAATCAAAAAATACTCTATTTATCTATTTTAATTTTCGTCGTTTAAACGTGATCGATGAAATATTGCCTAATGTAAACACGATTATATGCACTAAGCGATGAAAGAATTAAATATATCAATTCAATTTCTTATTTTATTTGCTATTTTAATACACCACATAAACTTTTAAAAATTGTTATGCTATTGAATTAATACATTATTAAAATCAATTCACCGAATTTCGGTTTGAACGACTATGAGGGTCGTTAATGTCTCCAGTTTTTCATCAATTAAGCGGCAAAATTGACTTTTGACTAAAATTGATTAAATATTTAGCGTGTGGCAAACAGACTTCAGAATATAATTGCCAAGAACACAGTCGTAACGAGTACGAAAAATAAACAGTCGTATACATCTTCGTAGTACTGAGGTACCGAGCGTTATATCATACACATACAATTAATATAATAGTTAAATACTGTAAAGCATTGTTACCGCATAGAGGACAGTTGTATTCCCATTTATAGGTTTCATTAATGCAATAAAATGTGACATATTTGTTATGATACTATGATAACAATTTTATATATTGAGAAATATAAAATTGTTTAAAAAGATCATATATTATTCTTTCAATTAAAAAATTTTTTGTTCGATTGATAAAAAAGAATATAAATTAATTAATATTGATTAGAATTCTTTAAAATATAAATAGATAAATAAAAATATGGATCATAATAGTTATTCAATTTGTGTTTTTAATCATTAATCGATTAAATAATTTAGAAAAATCAATAAAAATAGATATAAATTAACAAATTAATTAATTTTTAAATTAATTTAGAAATTATTAAAAAAATAATTTTTTAGCTAAGATATAATAGAATTGATTTTTATTTTTTTAATTATATTCATAAAAATTTGAATTTGTATAAATATTCATAATGTATTTATTATTATTATATATATTAGAAATATTTTTTTTAGAATTTTTATATATCAAGATATTTATACAATAATTATATAATAATGTCTTATATTTTGATTAATGCCTTATAAATTTTATCATTATCTCTATCATTTCTTAGAAATATTTTCGCAATTAAACAATAATTTTAAAACAAACACGAATGATTTTACCTTTCTTTTTCTCATTCTAATTTTCTATTCATTTTACATCGAAAAAAAATTCTTGACTTTATCTTGTGAATTGATTAGTTTCGATTTTAATCTATAATTAGAGTATTATACTTGTTATTCTATACAATTCTTTTAAAAGAAAAGTTGATTACATATTTTTTATCCTCTATGATCAAATTTCCAAAGAATAATATTCTATTTTGAAGTAATCTAATCATAAATTAATTTATTTCTAAGATAAATTGTTGTTGATAAAGGATCTTGACCCCCATGCGTTATGATGCGACCTCGCGAGGGCTCATTTTACGTAACCGTCCTTTAACGCGACTATTAATTCCTCTAATCCCCTCTTAATTTGCGTTTTTATAGAATATAATAATTGAAGGAAAAACCAAGGCTTGCGACAGTCTTCTAGGTCAGAATAGAATAAAATAGAATACAAAGAAGAGATAAAATTCAGTAACGATATAATTCGCAGTATATTCAGAATATAGTTAGAATCATTATAATCATCAATCATCTGCAAACAATTACAATAAGTCATCATTTTTTTACTTAAAACTTATAATACAAACGAATTAAATTTTCATTAAAAAAATCTTTGCATTAATTTAAAAAAATATAATTCAATAATAATAAAATCAACTGATATCGGAGAAATAAAATAATTTTTTAAAATTTACTTTCATCTTTCATTTTTTCAGTATGATTTTTAATTGATCTTTTTTAATAATCATACAAATATGAAATAAAGAAAATGATATTAAATAAAAGAAATGAATGATATGATGCAATTAATTTTATAGAGGATTTCAAAGTGAATAAGATATATATATCTTTGCAAATTATAATAATTTAAAGTATATAAAATATTAAATTGCGAAATCGACATAAATTAATAATAATAAATACATTTGAATTTTTAAACTTATTTTTTAAATATGATACTTATATTTTAAATACGAAATTTCAGATTATGTATCTTAATTATGTATCAAAATTGTAATTATGTAATTAATTACTAGTATGTGTTGATAAATAACCTAAAACAATTGATAAATTACAGGATGTTATCTGTGCAACGAATTTATTTGAAGCAATAATTGATGAATTAATAATTAGTTGTGAGAGAAAAGATGACTAATTGGAATATTTATACAAATATAGATATTTATATATAGATATTTATATATAATATATTATATATTATATTTAAATATAGAATATTTCCATACAAATATAGATTGAACTTTTATTTTAACTCAATTTTGTCATAAGAAAATCCCTAAATTAAAAAAAGTTTAAATTAGCGAAAATTTTTAAATATCATGATGTCGCTAATATATGAATTTTATTATATCTGAAAAATGCAATTATTTTTCATATTATTAAATAATACAATTGAATTATATTCTTATTCAATATTTCATTGTATGACATAGATTATTAATAATTAATTCGAAATACTATATTGGTTAATGGAACAAAAGTGTCATATCTTCTTTTTCTTTTTGAAAATATTATAAAAATAGTTTGAATTATTCTGAATCCTCTCAGTTTATCAAGACATAAAAACATATAATGAAAATAAGAAAATTTTTTTAAAAAATAATTTAATAAAAATTTTTTAATTTTATTAAAATTAAAAAAGTTAAAATGTAAAAAATGATCAGATTTTTTTACACTTACAACTTTTTGCGCTTCAACGGTAACTCTCGATCACTACTTGAGCTAATGCTGTAATTCCAGCGGTGACTCTCCGGCACTACTGGGATTGATGCGGCAACTTGAACGACGATAATATTTATTTATGTTTGATTTTTTTAGAATATCGCTTCATAAATATTTTTCTTTTTATGTATAATCTTATGAGGTGAATAATAGAATAATATATTGTTAAATGATTAAATTTTTTATCTCAAATTAGACCATGATCGTGAGTCGAACGATATCTTCGGCATTAGTCTGAGTTTGACAGTCGTGACAATAGAAGTATTATTTTCAAAGTTTTTGAGATTTGTAAGCATGGAATAACGATAATGAAATTAGTTGAAGTGAAGATGAGTTTGATTTTTCGTTATTGAATGACATATAAATTCTATTCATAAAGAAATTAACGTAGAGAAAGCAATGATGAACATAGAAATAAAATAACAAGGCGAAAAATAAGAATAAAAGATAGTGAATATGAAATCAAGTGAAGATATCGCAAAACACAGATTCCAGACAAAATTCCAAATGGATAACATGTATAGAATCGGAAAATATATCGCGAAGAATACAATTTATATCCGGTGAAAAATTTGGACCGCAATATTTTTGAATATAAATGAACCATTAGATTTTTTTAAACTATTTTTTACTGATGAACTTATTAATGAAATAATGCACGAAACAAATAATTATGCAATAAAAAAGTTAGAAGGAAAACTACTATTGCTTTATTTGCTCTGACAAACCGAGAATGCATCTTGATAATTGCTTCATAAAATATTACATAAAACAACAATATAAATTTTAATATTTAATAAATTTTGTTTTTTTATATGTAAAAATATATAAAATATTAAAATATAAAAGTTTTATGCGTTAATTTGTATATGAAATCATTATAAATTAGCTGTAAAAAATTCCATCGAATGCACTGAACGCACCGAACGCGCAGATGCGAATCTGGAGTTGCAAGTTCGACCGAGCAAAACAGACCTGGAGTGCAAAGGCTTAATTCGAGACATAAGTTTCCATAATAAAATATGATAATTCCTTATCAATGTCTCGCTAATTAAAATATGGATTCATATATTCTCTGTTTTAGGTATACTACAAAATATTCTGCGCGGCGCGTAGGATAGTTCTGGAAGAAAGAAGAGCACAAAGCCATTTGGAAGCACACTGTTACTTCGACATAGAGCCGACAGTGCAACAGCATCAGCCAGTAACTGTGAACCGTCAATTAAACTCCGATGTGCAGCCAGGACATGGTAGTCCGCCCGTAAAGCAACATCGAAGTTCAAGCGCCTCGACTACGGTGAGTAGCAACATTAATTTTAACTGATGAATCTCGTTCTTTTTCTATTTATGATCATTTCAAGAGCTGTTGATTAAATCATGGCCAATTCGCCTTCGTATTTCTTAATCAGAAATTAATACCAATATATGCTTAAGTATGCATCATTCTATTCGATAGAGTTTAAATATGATGCTATTTTCACAACGATAAAATGTTTTTATATACTTGTTTTTCTCTTTTAATAACTATAATTCTCTATAATAAGAGTTTTTTATACTATGAGAAAAAAATAATTAATTGTTAATTAATTAATTATAGTTTTAAATATACAATCTTGAAATCACTATGTGATCTATGAAATTTAAAAATTCGAAAAAAGAAGTATCAAAATGTAATATAGAAGAATTTTTCTCAAGTCATCTTTTAATATTTGAACTTTCGTCAATTTTAGCATTTGGATTTTTGATATCCGTACCAATTCTTGGAAAGGAAATATAGCACATAGTAACGTTTAAATATGTCGAATAAAATAAAGTACTGAAAAAAATTTAACATCGATCCTTTATTTGATTCACAGTTCTTTTAAATTAAATATCGCTTAAGTTAAATAAATCATAAAAGTCCCTTACCCAGATAAGCATTTGATTCTATTGAGATAATTAATAATAAAATGAAAACTGTATCAATATGAATAAAAAAAAAATTCAATACGATTCAATATTAAGTTTTCTTGATTGAACCGATTAAGAAATAAAATTCTTAATAAAATTTAAAAATAATTTCTATTTCTATATGAAGATTAATATACAAAATAAAAAGAAATTTTATGTGGTTGATTTTATATATATTCATAATATTTCGATATCAACTATTATCAAAATTAGAACATTTATTCCTCATATATTTGAGTATTTAAATATATGGAAATTCTCATATATTTGAATATATGTTATTGTATATATATATATATATAT